GCAAAGCTCCCTCGCCCACGCTCCCCCCCCCCCCCCCCCCCCCCCTCCCCCCCACCCCCCTCATCAGCATCTCATCGCGCTGCAGAGAGGGGAAAGGGTGGCCAGGGTGGGCGGGGAGGAAGGGTCCTCAAGACGAGGGCAATGTCAAACTTCCCTAAGAGTCAACACGGCACAGCGCTGCGCCAAGCAAACGGAGTAAAGAGTAGGGGGGGGGGCGTACTCTGTGAATTAGAACATTAAAAGATGCACGCGCCGCTGTACAGCGGGCGGGAGGCCTAGCGCCGGCCCAGCGCCCTGCTCCTCCGGTCTAGGGCACGATATTGGGAACGGTTCCCACTAAAATGGCCACCGCTGCCGCCTCCCTACCTCTTAGCTTAAGGGATAAGAAAGGGGGTGGGGGAGGGGCAGATGGGGGGCGGGGCAGGCGGGCCGTGGAACACGAGCGATTAGCACGAGCCGACATGCAAGACGCACGACCAAGGAAGGGAGGAGGGGGACATGGTAGGAGGGCGCGGCGCGCGGCACGGAGCACCCCGATCCTGGGGCAGAACGTGTGCAAACGGGGTGTAGTTGAAGGAACGAGATATTCGTACCTAGTATAACAAGATGCGAAAGATTTTCATCATTCTCTGCTTAGTTATCGGTAAAAAAAAATTAAAAAAATGTTGTTTTTTTCCCGCTGTGTACTTGAGGGCCCATTGCCAGAATTGCCATTCACTCGGCCGTGGTCGGGGGGTTTTCACGGCGAATCCCAGCATAATTCAACGCGTCGGTGGGTGGCGCTCACCCGGGCGCGGTGAGGGGGGAGGTGGGCATCGGGGGAGGGGGGGGGGGGCGCCGATAACGACTGGCGGCAGCGGGGCGATGCGGGCGAGGACGCGCCAACAGCCGGCAGGCAGCGTGATGAAGCGAGGAGTGAGGGGCTGATCAAACGCGCTAACGGGATAACGAGTCCCTCCCCAGTCCAGTCCGGACTCAAAGCGGTGGACAATGCCGTGCAGGCTGCCCTGTGGTGACCGGCCCAGCGCGCCCGGCCAGAGCGAGCACGGTGTGCGCCCAGCTTGGCGCAATTAGTGGAGAACCCCTTATTAACACTTTACCGCCGCGCCCCCCAGCCCCCCGGCCCGCGGTGGTTCATCATGTGGATCCATGTACGCAGAATCACGGCTGTTGAGCAAAGCTCCCTCGCCCACGCTCCCCCCCCCCCCCTCCCAACTTGTAGCAGCAATCAGTGCGGCCGTGTGCAAAGCCGGGCCCAGGGCGTTGGCGCCGAGCAAGCGCCTGCTCCTTCTTCTCCTACTACTACTACCTCGCGCCGACCCGGAGGGCGACGGGGAGGTGGTGCACGGGCGTCTCGGAGGGGTCCGGTCCGCGCAGACTGCCAAGGCGGGGCGGCGAGCCCGCGCAAATATTTGAACTCCTTACGCGATCTGATAGCAGACTCCCCCCCCCCCTTTCCCCCCTCCTCGCCCTCAGGTCACCCCACCTGCAGGACCTGTTTCAGGGACACTGGGCGGTCTGCTCTCATGCTCTTACTCACGTGCTCGTCCAGGAGGTGCGAGAAAGACGCGAGTCGGACGCGCTTGGTGTAGAGGATGCAGATGCTCTTCGGGTCCGACAGGCGTTTCTTCCTCGCCCAGGACGCGCGCTGTGCCGCCGCGGCCGCCGCGGGCCTCTTCCGTCGGGGCGTGCTGCTGGCGTGATCCCCCTCCAGGTCATCCTCGTCCCCGGACAGAGCCTTCCAGATGCTGGTGTCGCTGGGCAGCACGACGCGCGCCGGGGGCGAGGGCGCATCTTCCACGAGAGTGTCATCGTCGTCCTCGTCGGACTCGTCAGACTCGACAGACTCGTCGGACTCGTCGTCGCTCTCCTCACTGCTGCTGGCTTCGTCGTCGTTGATGGGGCAGTCCTCCCAAAAGGGGTCCAGCCGCCCGGCGCAAGAAAGGTCGTCACTGTCCTGTTGCTCCAACACTGCCTCCTTGTCCTCCACGACGACGCTCTGCGCCGGGCGGACGCCGTCCTCGTCCACCAGGTGCTGCTTCACGCCGCCGACCTGGGCAGCCTCCCCTCTGTCCTCCAGCTGTATGTCCTGGTCGTCCGCGGCGTGCGCGGCGTGCAGCGAGGAGCGCAGGATGTTGAGGGCGCACTTGGTGACCTCGGAGACGCGGGCGGAGAGCGAGGCGCCCTTGGCCGGCCAGCGGGCCGGGGCCGTGGCCGCTGTCTGGGCGCGCGAAGAGGAGGAGGCACCTCTGACGGAGCCTCTGGCGGGGCCTCTGGCCGGCGAGCCATCCCACGTCGCCATGTTGCCATCCCGGGCGCCATCCCGCTACCCCGGCGAGCGCCTGGGCCTCACCATCACGGGGGCCGAGCGCTACACGGGCCGAGGGGGAGAGGGGGGGGGGATTAGTCACGAGCAAAGCGCACACCAGCCGACCCCCTGCGAACGGAAGCGCAAAAAGGATTCCTTTGATCCTGGGGGTGAAGGGGGGAGGGGGGGGGGCTGTCAATCGCCTCCGCCGCTTGCAGGTGCGTCTTGTGGGCAGCGCGGCGCGCGGGCGGGCGGGCCGTGTATATATATAGCAGGGCACGCGCAGGCGCGCTGCAACACGCTGTATAAACACAATGCCCGCCCGGCCAGGGCCCGCCAGCGTGGGAGCGGGGTTATGACGGCCCTGCTCATCAGCCGCGGATGGGGCGCTGAGGTCGGCGATGAGCGGACCGAGGGTGTTGGCCGAGGGGGTTGGCCGACGGGGAGGGCCGGGGGCGGACCG